CGCGCCCCGGGGCCTGCCCCGCATTTGCAGCCATGGGCCGGGCAGGGGCAGGGGCAGGGGCAGGGGCAGGGGCAGGGGGGCCTAGCGCAGGGGCTGGGGGAGGGCTGGCTGGCAACCGGGGCATGGAGCGGCTCCAAGTACAAAGGTTAGTGGCAGGGAGGGGGGTGCGTGCGTGTGAGTGCGTGCGTGTGTGTGTGTGTGCACGCAGGGGGGTGGATCCGGGAGCTGTTACTATTGCAACAAATGAGGGCTGGGGCTGGCAAGTGCTGAGAGGCTGAATGGGCAGGCAGGGCGATTTGGACCAGAGGCCCCATCCGCAGCCACCACCCGGAACTGGGCAAAGGAGGCAAGCGGGGAGGCCACGAGAAGGGGCAGCGGGCAGGCACTCACCCCCCGTGCAGGCACCCCAAGAGTTGATTCTCGAAACCTGCCAGATTTGCCAGCCCTTTCCCCCACCCCACCCCTCCTTTCTATCCTCCAGATTTTTTCCCCCCCAGTGAGCCGGCACATCAGATGGGAGATTTTGTGCAATCGGATGAAGGATCTCACAAGATGTTCCTGTGCTGACAACTTTAGGAGCTGCCAGATAGAAACAGCTGCATTTTTCAAAAGGAGGATGCGGTGGCATATTGACAAAGTGACAAAGAAAGGACTAAAAAAATCCCGGGTCTCTCATTGAACAGGATTAGGTGAGGTATTTATCTATGCAATCGATGGATAGACAGCTATCAGCACATGACTCTCTCCATCTGCCTATCTATCCACCCAGCCAGCAGGTAGGTAGGCAGGCAGGTTGATGCACAGTGAGACAGAGGTGCTGAGTGTGTGCGCACTTTTTGAATAAATACATTTGGCTGGGAGCAGGAAAGGATCTGTTATGGTAAATGCTGTGTGAAACAGGCCAGCAGAGAAGCCTAGCAAGCCAGCTATTCTGGGAGGCCGTTAGGATTTTAGCATCCTTCCTAGTAATCTTCTGGAGAAGCTGAAAGGCCATTTGTAAAGGAAAGCACTGCCAGGAAGCTCCCTCTGAATACCATGCACCCAGAAGGGAGCTGCAGGGACAGCTGCATTCCCCAGCCATGCCCTGGAGCACTGCCCTCAGGGCTGCGTGCTGGAGCACACATCCCTCTGCACATGGGCAATGCTTCCCAACCCTGGATTTCTGGCTGTGTTTTACTATGAGCAGAGGATGCAGTGGGGGAGATTGGGTTCAATAGGACCTGGGTTTGTTCAACACATACATGCACATGCACAGACTTGGGGTGGAGGCATAAAAAGAGAGAAGCCATTTTCATAATTCCTGCCCCCTTTGAGGTCTCTCCCTCACACTCAATTCAGTAAGGGGATGAGAAGGGTCAACATGCTTCCCAGCCCAGACCAGCCCTATCCACTCCTTCCTGTTATCAGGAGCACTGGCTACAGGGGATCTTTTCAGGCTGCTGGTGGGAAGAGGCATCAAGTTTGGAAAGTAGAAAAAGGACTCAGATTTATTTTCTCTTCTCCCCCTCCCCACACACATGCTGCAACATAACAGTTGATAAAACTGCATCTGGCCTGGCCTTTAATGAAATGGCTGCTTTGAAGGAACCCTAGGACTCTTGGTCCTTGCTAGCTATTCAACCAGGGAATAATTAACTCCTGTATGCAGCTCCCAAGGCATTGTCACTGAGAGGCATTGTCACTCCCTACTGACCACTTCAAGCCATCAGAATGTAACTCCTCTCCGTGGAGAGGAGTGAGCAGGGCAGAGAGGGGTGAAGAGCAACGTGATGGCTGAGCAAGCTGTGGGGCACCTGAAGGATGAGCTCCATGCATTGCAAGGAGGCGCAAATGGCTTGTGCATAATAGTCATGATTGTTTCCTCTACAGTGAATACATGGAACAAGAGTGAAGTGAGACAAGGGTCCACCAAGGAAGAACAGCCATCCTTGGGTCTCTTTTGGGAGAACGTAGGAGCTGCTGGGCTGGATCGGACCAATGGTCCATCCTGATTTCGACAACAGGCGGCACCAGTGGCTCCAGAGGCAGGGCCAAGAATTTTTGCAGTAGACATTGTTGGAGTGACCTGTCCCCAAGGGAAGGAATTTCTAATCCCCACTGGTTGGACATTGGCTTAAAATGTTTAGGGTAATGGATACAAGAAGTTGGTGAACGGTGGGATGGGGTGAGGAATTGTAAGTCACTGATTTTAGTCTAGCTCAAATAATTCTTACTGTTGGAGGACTGAGCCTTTGTGAATGGCCACAGTCCATCCCTTCCACCATAATCATGATCCTGGTGCATCTCAAATGGCCACCTTTGTCAGTGGTCTTAATGGAGAGGCCAACTGTTGATCAGGCTATGGAGTATGAACTTCTTTCTGGGTTCCTCTGGCTGGCCCCTTGAGGCCAAGGCAGAGACTCTTATGCTTGGAAGGGTGAGGGGAACCTAAATGGATACATGAAGGCCTCTGCTCTGTAGGAAACATCATCCCAGCATGTTCCTCAAGCAGTAAACCCCTGGGATGAAATCCTACCCCCCATACTGCACGTTTGCTGTTGTTTTCAACATAGGCAGGATTTCACCCATTGGGTACAGTGAATAATAATATCATGCATCCAAGGCAACCTAAGCCCTATTTTCAGAGAAGTAAAGAATATCTATATTTATAAGGATCCAAGCACCTGTATACACACATATAGATCACATCACTTGCTACTAAAATGCAGTTCTGAAACAGCAAACAACATTGCACAGCAAAGTAACCCACAAAAGCTTGAAACCAGGAAGCAAAGAAGCAGCTCTTACTAGGTAGAGGGGAAATTTAGTCAAGTAGAGAAGAATTAACCAGCTTAGACTATGCTCTAGCCAGGACATGAGGTCTAACACTCTCCAACTCTCATTAATCACTAAGGAGATCTTAATGACCAGGAAGTGTTGATCAGTGGGAGTGATTCACCACTGCACTGCAGACATGGTCAAAGCGGGTGTGAACATCTTTGCACTCTTTTTATGCTGGTGGAAAAAATAATCATCAGGTGCAAAGTATCACTGAGTCTATTAAGGAAGTCATGCATCTTGATTTTACATTGGTGTTTTGACACGCAACCTCCAGTCATACAACCTCCATAATGCCAGGTAAAGACACCACCTCACTACTGTCTCAGGGGAACAATCCTGTCTTATTAAGCTCTGCTGTGCTCCGCTTAAATCTCAGAAGATCACAGCATGGATCGTTATCATTTAAATCAGTGGGAGCCAACCTTTTTGGCAGGTGTACCACAAGGTAAGCCTCACACCCTCCCTAAATGTCATTCTAATCCCCTTTCCCTGTTTGATCTGCTGCTCTGCTTTCTATTCCCTACCTTGTGTACAACTGTGCTGCACATAGAGGCTGCCTGTGCCATTTGTGACACACGTGCCATGGATTGGCCACTCCTGATTTAAATGATCATTTTAAAAGTGATGAAAGGGCGCTGCTTGCTGCACTGGGGCTGTAAGGGCCTGGACTGATGTCTGCACTCTTACCCTGGTGTTTCTTCCTCCTGCTTATTTTACTTTACCTGTTCTGTTTTCTATTCAAACTGATTTTGTTAAGAAGAAAAGGAAACAGCATTTTGGGCAGCTGGGCCATTGAATTATTCTGGGATCTCTTCATTAAATAAAGGCTAGTTTGCTTGCTAGCTAGGCCACTTTTCAGGTATGTGTGTGTAAGTGGGCATGTGTGTGCATGTGCGCATGCACATGTGCAGTTTGGATGTTTAAAAACAGTCATTTCAAATGAGCTATTAGGCCAGGGAGTCAGATGGTGTAAGTCAATGTAGCTCCTGATTGACACCAGATGACATGGTGGCCTGACCTCTTAGCAACCAAAGCCATGACACAAGGAACACCAAGATGGCTCCTCCCTGTTCCTTTGAAACCAGGAAGCCTGGCAAGAGGGCAACTGAGGAAAACGTTATACAGAAGCTCTGTAGGGGTGCAAGAGGAGATCCAGAGGTAGCTTTGGGATTAACTCTGTTCCCCATATTCTAATGAAGTTCCTTGTGCAGCACTGGAGGAAAGAGACCTTTTGTGGGAGTCTGCCCCCTGTCAGGTTGACCCTTGAGGAGGATGGACATGTTGTTATGGGGCAAACGTGCAGAATGAAGGTTTGCATATGGTTATTGTGATGACTCCAGCCTGGACAGTGCAGATGAATCTTAATGCCCATCGAGAGTGCAGGGGTAAGGTTGCGGCAGGCTGAGAGAAAGCTACCAGTCCCATGTGCTTTCTATGCT